ATATTTTTGAAAAAATCAGCAATGATAAGTAAAAGAAAACACAGTAATATTACACTATTACTGTTTATTACTACTAGTAATCTACTACAATTCAAATACAATACAGAACAAACAAAACTTATTAATAATCAATGTGAAGACTGATAGTGCACGTTTTCAGCCAGTTTATTGTACTCTGGTATATAAGGTGTTACAGCAAGAGTTATACAATCATTCAGATGCTCATTTGTTATTCTGAATCTGAAGTTTGATTTTAAAAATTTCATTGTTGAAAAGCCACTTTCACAAAGTTGATTCAAAGCAGCAGTTTATTCAAAAAGAGTTCTTTGTTACCCCTGATGTTCAAGACTGAGTTTATTCATTTTGGTTATTATATCAGTAAGAAAGGATAAATCGAACAACCAGTCATGATCATTAAGTTCTTCATAAGTTTTGTTTCTAGATTCTACAGTTTTATTTCTGGAAGAAGCTCTACAAATCGTTGTAGGACTTTTCCTTTACTAAGCCATCAAAATTCAGAATGTAACATTAAAGTTCCATACTCATCAAGTTCATCAGTCAGTATTTTGAATAATCTGCTCAGAAGTGGTCTGGCTCGAATAGAATGTACAATTTTTAAAACAAATTTCATGACATGTTCATAACGCAACACTTTTGTACATAATACCTGTTGATGAATGATGCAGTGATAATGAAAAAAATTTGGAAACAGCACCATTCTATACACTCCTAGACCATTTGACCAATTGCTATGAAACTCTCTAGTTACATTCAAATACTTTAACCTTAGATCATGTCATACATCCCACCCCAAAATATTGATTACATTTCTATAAACCAATTAATTTTTATTTGAATCTGATTTTCTGAGTTACATGTAGTGCCATCTATTGGCAAAACAGTTAAAATAATTAACTAAATATAATTCTTACAAAAAAAAGGACATAATTTAAAAAAATATATGTTATATTCACTGAATTACTGTGACAATGATATCACACAAAATAAATGCACCATTACTGAGACAGGTAACACATAGCACTTGCCTACAAGGACTGTAGTGTTTTGCCCCCATTCATCAAACTTTTCACATTAGCAATAGAGTCATGCTGGTTATGTATCTAACTCCATTTCATAGAGAATTTTTGTATTGAAAATAATGTGCGGTACAAATCGGAAGTTCGTATATTGTTAATCTGGTCCTCTTTCTCTTGCAATTTCCATGTTTGGTCTCGACTTTCATCTATTTAACTTTGTTCTCGAGATTAAGGAAGGTCAGAGACGGATGGATGACTGGAATTTATAGCTTTACAGTTTTTGACAAGACTGTCTTTTTATAAAATCATTCTGCCTGCTGTGTTACCAGCTTAGAGGTATGAAGGAGTACATGTCAGGAGTTGCAATTTGTCACAGAGTATTAGGTTCCCAAATCATGTGTGCATAAAAAAAAACCAGATTTGTAGGTACTTGGGGGACCGAGAACAGAGTCAAAATAAAATACAAAATGGCGACTCTCTCTACAAACAGGCAAACCGAAGTCAGGTGGTGAGAGTACCACCTACAGTCGTTCTAGGAAGTGGACTCATTTTCTTTGTTAAATAAAATTTGTAATCTAATTTTGTAAATTTGGGAATGCTTCAAATATGACATTAAAACAGGGTTTTATGTCATTACAAGTAGTTTTTTTTAACATTATCTAGTATAGTAAAATCATGGGACTGATAAAACTTGACATTATATTAGGGTTGTCGTTACATCTGATGCCATTATAATTGGGTTAAACTGTATATTGTTTGTGCAAAATAAAAAAAAATAACTTTGGATGATACAATAGCCACGATTATTTTTTCAAAAACGGGAAATTTTTGTTACGCATTGACAAAAATTCAACCTGGGCTGACACATAACGGAGAGAAATTTTGAAATTGGATGGGTTAATTTCATTGAAAATGTATCATGGACAACCTTGTGGTCGTGGCTGGCAAAGTTTGAACGGTCGTGCCCAAAAGCAGTGATACCAAAGAAGATTGGAGAATGAGAATGAGACCTGCCTTGAGCGTCAAAGCAATTCCGCTTAGTAGTCGGTTTCTGAGACATAGTCTTGTCCCAAATGTGGTTTTTTCATTTTACTTGTTTCAAATTGCAGCCCATAAGTATACTCCAGTAACTGAGTGGATAAAACTACCGAACACAATTAGTTGATCATGGGTTTGCGCATGGCTAATGGACTGGTCAAGGGGAGTTTTCTGGGTTTTCTTCATGTTAGTAACACTTCAATTGGGGCCAACTTTACATAAATGTCTTTCTGGGACATATCCTCCATGGCAGATCACTCATATATTGCATTGCCATAACCAAATAAACCAAACTAATTCTGATGAGTGATTATTTATTGTGACATTGTCATAATGCCGGGATGCAACTTTTTTGTCACAATGTTCTTAATTCTTTTAGTGGTGGTGTTTTCCCTGTACATCACACTTTTCCTGTTAGCAATAAATTCGAGTCAGTCATATATCTAACTCTGTTCAGGGAAAAATTTTGAATAAAAGTAATGTTACTTCCATTCTAAACCAGAAGTTCATAAATAGTTAATCTGGGTCTCCTGCCCTAAGCTTTCCACATCTGATCTCAACTTTCATCAATCTAATTCCTTTCTTGAGATTAAGGAAGGACAGACAGTCAGAGGGAGGACAGTGGAAATTTATAATGGAACAGTGGGGAGGGAGGACAGTGGAAATTGTATAGGTCTACAATTTTTTCAAATTGCATCCCAATAATTTTTCCACAAATTCAATATTTATGAGAATATACTTTCCACATAGTTTATATAATCTGTTGCCAAAATTTTAAAATATTTATTATCAGATAAAAGCAATTATTCTAGCATTTTTACAAGATTTTTTTTATTTAAACAAGTGTTACGAAGTCTTTCAGACGTTAAGGTTAGCAACTTTAATCACATTGGGTCTTCACAACCAATCTAACATGGATCACTTTTCAAATATTAATAGTATATCAGTATTAATGACTAGTTGTTGATTATTCTTTCTTCTGGAAGGAGGTCAACTATTGGGTTGTTCGGAAAGTAAGTTTGTTTTTTTTTCCGTGAAAAAAAACACAATATTTTTATAATAAATAAATATTTTATTGAATTATATATCAACCATTTTGGTCAAATACCTGTTGTCATTGTTTCTGGTTGTAGGCATGATTTCACATTCATAAAAGTTTTGATCGTTGCTTACAAAAAACTGATCCAAGTGATTTTTGACATTGTCATTTCAAGTAAATGTCTTCCAGTCTATACAAATTTTTTTGACTGTAACAAGTTTCAGTGGGCTCGATCTGGCGAATATGGTTGGTGCGATAGCACGTCCCATCTATGTTATAACAGTTTCTGACGAGTTACCAAACTTGTGTGAAATTTGGCATTATTGTGGTAAAACACTACACCTGTTTTGTTGATCAAGTCTGCTGCCTTTTCTGTTTGATGATATTACTCAATTTTTTACTCGATGGCAGTACACTTTCGAATCAATTGTTAAATTGTCTGGTAAAAGCTCCAAAAAAAAATTTCCTTAAAATTCCACCAAAGAGAGCATCTCTCTTTGGTGGGATTTTAAGGAAATTTTTTTTTGAAACATGTGGAACCCATATATTAAGCTTTGAAACGAAACCAATTTGTTTCAAGTAATCATAAATGGTTCAATTTGACAAATTTAATCTCTTAGTGATTTCACATGTTGTTATTCAGCAGTTTGCTTCAATCAGTATCTTTATTTTGTTTTCGTTGGCATCAACTGGCCATCCAGAACGTGGTGCATCTTCAATATTGAAATTGCCAGAATGAAATTTTGTAAATCAGTTTTGACACTGTCTTTCTCTCGACACATCTTCTCCATACACGTCACATAATTTTTTTCTTGCTTGAACAGGATTCTTACCTTTTCGGTAACAAAAGAGCTGAAAATGCTGCTTTCAATCTTCCATATTTGATGGGACACAAAAAATAAATAATTGCACAAAATCAAACAAAATTTTTTACAAATAAGCCTTAAAATGCTAGCTGTCAAAATATATGATGATAATACGGTTTATAAAGAAAATGGTGGGAAAAATACGACTAATTCTTGTAATGGAAAAAAAAACAAACTTACTTTCCGACCAACTTATTACTTTTAGTCGAATTAACTTTGACTCCCTTTTGCAACAGCAACAGTTCCTTCTTTCTATTGGACCAGCAGTAAGGAGGCATTTGAATAGGAAAACTACATAATACGAGGTTACCAGTGAGCACAAAATATGTTTTGAGGGTACTGAGTTTAAATATTCGGTCCCATTTTTTTCTGAAATTTGATTGGTTGGCAGATTACTGTTTGATATTTGACTGTGAATGGTACAGTTTCTTAGAGTTAACATTAGAAAATATTATATCTGAAAAATTCAAAATATATTTTTAATTCCTGTGTACTTGACAATTGGATTTGTGTAATTTTGTACCATTCGAATATTGTGATAAATGTGACATTGGTAGTAGGCTGAAATAACCAAACTCTTTATATGATTTTGGTTTTAATGTTTGTTATATTATAGTATTTGATTTATATAACTACAAAGGTTATCTTAGGTAAGGGCTTATTTCACCAAGTGACCAATCTAATATTTTTAAAAATTCTTTATTCCTCTACTAACCTTTCTATTATAGTATTTGATTTATATTTACAAAGATTATCTTATGTAACAGTTTATCACACTGAGTGACCAATCTAACACATTTTAAAAATTCTTTAAATTTTATATAGAAGTATGAAATAACCTTAATGTTTGTTTTTATTTTTTGCCTGTGCAACACTGGGTTTACCTGCTAGTTTTTTGTATATAGCAGAGATGTTTTTTAAAATTTTAATAAATTTGTCTTTGTGATTTATTATATTTAAAAAAGTATTAAATGTAAATTTGGGATTATCAATTGCTTAACAAATGATCTACTTGCTTAGGATTCCAGTAGGATATGGATTTTTGGAGTTTGGAGATGATCAGACTGCTCAAAAAGTTTTACATAGATGTAATGGAAAAGTTATACCTAATGCCTCACCAGTGAGTAATATTTACTAAGATTTTTGTTTAATATGTTAAATTAACATAGTGCATAGTATACTGACTAGTCACTAATTATACCACCATAAAAAAGTAATAATAGTAATCTATCAGAGAACAGCAAGACAACACATAAAAATATTTGCCATTTGCTTCAATATGAATATGTTGGAGCAAAAGCACACTTGTTACACCCCTGTATCAAAGAACGTGATAATGTCTCACTGCAAAAGGGATCAAGCACTGACACTTTTGAAAAGTGACATTCAGGATGCCTGCATCTTACATCCAACTGGGAACAGAACCATTTTTAAACATCTGAAGAAGTTAGTAATCTACAAAGCCAATAGGAAGGAGTTGCCTTAAACTATAAAACACCTATACCACTTCGGATGCCTAGTAGTCCTTTTTTAAAACAAATTTTAAAAAAACTGTATGATATGCTTATGGCATCCTTGGAATACAATCTAATTGGTTGCAATCATAAATGCCATCTGTTTAGAATCTAAAGATTCCTGTTTATGTTCTATGCTTAAATATAATGTATATCTGATGATGACCACTGTAAATGGTCGAAAACCTTTGTTTGTTATTTAAATATTCTAGTTTGCTGAATTTTTTTGGTTTTTTGATATTTTTATCCGGTTTCAAAAGAACTGTAGTGGTTTTAAGCAAGATATATAACAACATTCTGATTATTTACTTTAACCTAAATATATCCAAAAAACCTTAAATCCAGTAAAAATAGAATGTTTATTAAATGAGCAAACATTTTCAACCATGTAGAACGGCCATCTTTAGGTTCTACAAAGGTATTAATGAATAGAACAGGAAGCATATTTAAAATTAAAAACTTTCAAAAGTTACACATTTACATAGTGATTTGCATTCGCAGGAGTATAAAATGTATTAAATAAAATACAGAAAATAGAAATAAATAATTAACAAGAAAAATATTAAATATAAAATAAAATAATAAATAAATACAGCAAAATATACAGATACCATGAATAAAAAACAAAAATATAACAAAATGGTAATTCCAACACCTCGTCTGGTACCTGTTACCAGTGCGTTCTGTGAAAAATATCAGTAACATTTTCGAACTGATAAATAGTTCTTCTTTGGTAACAGGTACCAGACAAAGTGTTGAGTTACATCCCTGGTGTTGATGTGTTGTGGATGTTGATATTTTAAACAAAATGGTAATAAACAAACCCAATAAAACTTCAAAGAATGATCTCCAAGCATGTGACATGACTGCAGAATCTTTAAAATTAATTGTGGTCCCTTTCTTACTAGCTTAATAAATTTCTAGAGCTTTCGAATACTTGAGTTGTGTCATAGCCAAAGTATGATGTAGTAGGCTTACTCTATTGAATGAAACAGCTACATCACTGTCATAAACAAAGGCTGCCAAGGCAGTTGTACAGATGTGCTTCCTAATGGTGTCTTGATGTTTCTTGATTCTAGTGCTCAAAGATCTCTACATTACTCCAATTTACTCATATCTATGATCCACTTTGTTACCTTGTAAGGTAATTGAGTAGACCTCAGGTAGTGTCCTCTCATCAGTGCAATCCTTATCATTTCTGAGTAATAAAAAGTAATAGGGCTTCTTCTTTGTGATTCCGAAGTTGAAGAGTTATACTATTTCCTTGAAAATATGGCATAAAGCTTTGTTGTAGGTGACAGTTCTAAATGACCTACTATCATTACATCTGGAATTAATCTAATTGTGATACCAATGTATGATGGTCTTAATGAACTTCAGTTAGTAACCATGGGCCACAGCTATATGGAAAATATGATGTAGTTCCCATTCCTTGAGTTGAGAGTTGGAACAATAGTATATGCTCTTTTAACCTAAACCTTGAATGCCACTAGCTTATCAGAAAATGGATCGTGTAAAGATGGAAGAATGAATAATGGCTTATAAAAACTTTTGTGGAAAACATTGGTAGAGAGAGAGAGACATTACGTATAGTGATAAGTAGAGCCGAAAAGTTTTTGCGCCTAAAATTGCCAATTGTTTGTCTTAAATTTGCCAAAAAAATCACCAGTTATTTATTTCAAAAACGAGTTAAAACGAATTACACTTAGATATTTCAAATAATCCTCGCTTAAACTTTTATTACTCAGAAATGATAAGGATTGCACTGATGAGAGGACACTACCTGAGGTCTACTCAATTACCTTACAAGATAACAGAGTGGATCATAGATACGAGTACATTAGAGAAATATAGAGATCTTGGAGTACTAGAATCAAGAAACATCAAGACACCATTAGGAAGCACCTAGCAATCGCTCAATATCGATGAATATAATGAGAACAAATGTTCAATGGCGACTGCAACTAAAGGAGCATATTTGCTATTAACTTTATCACTTAAATTCATATCAAAAGACATAAATTTGATAAGATCAGGATTGCTTGACAAAACTTTATCCAATTTTTGAGACAATATAAGATAACCAGAAACAATTTCTTTTGCATTTCCAATTAGTTTGGCTTATTTAGTTACAGTGAGTTTGTTCTTTCAGTGATATAATATTTCATAAAGCTATTCAAATTTTCAACCTCTGTGGTCCATAAAACAAAGACAAGTATAAATAACAAAATGAATTTATTACCAAAAGTTAGGTACAAATATCGTTACTTTTCAATATGACAAATGCCTCAATCTTTATGGTGATTATATCTGTGGATGAGCTTTTCCATTCCCTCTTCATAGAATGTTGCTGCCAGTGAATTGAGATGGCCTTAACTATGTTGTTTTGAAGATCATCATTAGTCTCAAACCTCTGCCTTTCTAGCCATGTTTTTACTTCAGGAAAGAGGTGGAAGTCTTCATCACCTTTAACACGTTAACTACCTGTTGTAATATGATATTTTGCGTGGGGGGGCCAAAAAATGAAAATTTGATATCTAATAATTGATTATAACGTAAATAAAAGGGTCGATGTACAACAGTCAGGAGAGCGATGGTAAGAAAAGTATATATAAACAAAGACCGTAGTCGTATGACCTTGAACGTGAGACTGCTTTCTCCCAGGCAATAAATTTTACAACTCCACTGTAATTAGATGTCCTTCCCTACTTAAAAGTATTTACATCTGTGTGTTAAAGTATTTCACACTTTGTTTCCACTGCAAATGATGTTTTTTTCTGTAAATATATATTAAAATGTACTTATATACTTTGATTTTTTTTTTGTAATATTATTTACTTTATATGCGATAAAAGAGGATAATTAAACTAATTTTTGATATTTTAAATTATTTACTATTAAAATAAACCACTATCAGATATAAAATAGAGTTTTATTTTAAAAAAAAAACTACGACCGCCGACCTTGTACTGCGTCATGACGCTACACGACGCGCCGGCGGTCGTAGCTAGGACCGGTTTGTCATACAACTGCCGGCGTTCAAAGCCAACTAAATAGATATCCACGAGAAGCCAGCACTAAGCATGCAGAAAACGTCATACGAGGCCAGGAAAATTTAACCTTGAGTAAAACTACATTGTTTATGACTATGGGCTGTCATATGGTGCTGTACGGGAATTTCCATTACGACGGCACACGCGTCATATGGCAGCCAACATGTTAAACATCCAGCATATAGTCCCGATTTAGCACTGAGCAACTTCCACCACTTTCCTGAATAGAAAAAGTGGCTAGGAAGTTTGAGACTAATGACGATCTTCAAAACAACATTGTTAAGGCCATCTGAAGTCACTGGCAGTAACATTTTATGAAGAGGGGATGGAAAAACTCGTCCACAGATATGACAAATGCCTGAATCTTCATGGTGATTATGTCAAAAAGTAACCATGTTTGTACCTAACTTTTGGTAATAAATTCATTTTGTTATTTACATTTGTCTTTGTTTTATGGACCATTGCATTGGAGCTTAAAAAAAAGCCTACGTATATTATATCTATGACAAGCCTCTTTTAGGAAATTTAAATAAGCCTTTTTTTTTAAATTGTATATATTACATTGTTTATATATTTATTAAACAGCCAAAAAGGTTTAAGTTGAATCATGCCAGTTATGGGAAAGAACACCTTAATCAGTAAGTTTATAATTCAGTAAATTTTCATTCATCTACTTTAATCATTTAAAAAATTTTATAAATATTTGAAGGAAAGAGCATTCCTTATTTGTTGGTGATTTAACTGCAGAAGTTGATGATCTTGCGTTGTATACTGCATTTTCATCTAAATATCCATCTGTTAAAACAGCAAAAGGTAAGAATGAGTTAAATTTAATAACTTTCAATTTTTAAATTGTGTATATTTCAGTAGATAAGAAAACACTTGAATTATCCAAAAACACTTCAAAAGCAGGGAATTGACTTACAGAACACATACAAAAGAATCTTAAAATTCTACACAAAATACCAATATGAGTTCTATGACCGACTTCAGAAAAGTTTTAGGACATTAAAATAGCTGCTTTAGTGTTTACAAATTTTTATTTTTATCATAAATTAAAATTATAAAAATAATAGCCATCAAAATCATATTTAATTGTCAATTATAAATAATTGTATACTGAATTTAATAATCTTCTAAAGTGACAATTCTCTACTACGATGTGTAAAAACACAAGTGAAAACTATTCTGAGAATGAGTGTATATTGATTGCATTGTCATTTACATATACAAGTACAGCACTGCCAACAGCCACAGATGAAAGAAAGTGTATATAAGTCTTGAGATGACTACATGTCTCAATCATTTACAGACCACACCTTATACTGACTACTTGCTAATAGTACATATTTACATCTATGCATTCTGCAACTCGCTATATTATTAATTTGTACACCACCATATTGAGTATTGCTTTCTACTGGTTAAAACTTTATCATAAATGGTTTAAATAGTTGAGATCATCTTATGAAAAAGATATGAACCAAACCCATAAAATTTAGACTGAATTTTGTTTTTGTAGTATCTAAAATTTGTGTTATCTACCAAAATATATCATAACTAGCAGATATACTTGGTGCTGCCTGGGCAAAAAAGTAAGAACAACAAACATTAAAATGAAATACATATTAAGAACACCTAACTCAATAACTGAAAAACCACCAAAATTGTCACACACTTATAAAGTAGATGTTTTCATCATTTTTAGGACATCGTCAGGCTGGTGTTCTAATACGAAATTGCATGACTTTTGAATGGTTTGTAACTTCTACATTGCTGCCGCTGATAGGTGGACATATTGTATATATAATCTTGTGGGGATTACAAGATTTATGTTGGATGGATATATATTTTCCATGGATTTGGGATTTGTTATCTTCCTTATAGTTGATAGTTTGTTTTCTGAAGGCTGCCTTGAAAATTTCCATCAACTCAAGATATCTGAGTCATGTTCTATTTGCTGTTCTGTGTAAAATTTTGTGTGGTCAAAGTGGACTTTCATATGCAGATCTCTGGCACCTGCAGATAGGACGGTGGATATGAGATCTAGATATGTCTGCTCAATGTTCCTTTACACAGGTGGTGATATGCCAAAATGTGACTTTGTATTCACTGACCTATCAGCATATGTTGGCGATCTGGACATGGAAGTCCATTTTGACCACACAAAATTCTACACAGAACAGTGGATAGAACATGGCTCAGATATCTTGAGTTGACGGAAATTTTTACAAGGCAGCCTTAAGAAAACAAATTATTAACTATAAGGAAGATAATACAATCCCAAATCCATGGAAAATATATATTCATTCAGCATAAATCTTGCAAGCCCACAAGATTATATATACAATATGTCCACCTATCAGTGGCAGAAACGTAGAAGTTACAAACCATTCAAAAGTCATGCAATTTTGTATTAGAACACCAACCCAATGATGTCCTTTTTAAAAATGGATGAAAAATGTTTGCTTTTTTTAAGTGAATATTTGCTAGTTTTTGGTTATTGAGTTAGATGTTCTTAATATATTAAGCAGTGTTAAGATCTTTAGATGTGTTTAGATTTCTAATTGGGTAATTCTCATTTAATTCATTACAACAAGACACAAGTTGCGTGGTTATAACTGTCCAGACTGGACTCTGGTCATGTCCTGCTTGTTCAACTGACCCCGAAACAAAGACATCCCCAAATCTCACGACCATTCATAGGTGTAACCTGTTCAGACCCCTAGTGGATAGGTTTTCATATGCCCAAAAACAACTGTCCCAACAACTAGCATTTAGCAGTTGTCCACTGAAATCCATATTTATTAAGAGTTTTGTTATTTTAGCTTACCATTATCATGTTTAACATGAAGTATTATATAATTTATAATAAGAAAAAAGAAAATTAACAAAACATAATAAAAATGACAAAAATCTACTTTGAAGAAGAGGAAAAATAAATAGATCTTATTTAAATTTATGTAACAAAAATAAAAACAAATGATCAATTATATTTCGAGGTAAACAGACTAAAGATTCATGCTCTGCATACTGGAAAATTCCTGAGTATAAGTTTTGTGCTTGCTAAAAATGTGATTCTTAGATGGTTTGCAATGGTGCAATTTATTGGTCAGGTAAATAGAAATTGATTTTTACTTTCCTGGCTGTTATATATAACAGAGCGAAGTATGGCGATCGGCCAAAAAATGATCCCCCAAGATTTTTACATTTTTGGACTTAGGACATCTTATAGTAGGGTTGGACTTGGTAACGATTTTACTTGTTATTAGCATTGACAATTTGCTTATAAAACTCATTCCTACCCTCAAAATTAAGGTTTTTGCCATTTTATGATATTTAAAAAAATAAAAAGTTTTTAATGATATACAATAACAGTGCTGCTGAATTTTTTTAAAATGTTGCCAGGAAAGTTGAGCAACTCATCTATTTTAGTTTATTTTCAACAGAAAATAGTCATTGACTTCTGCCTGCATAAGAAGATAATTCAAGACAACAAATTTTTTGTAATGTTAACTCTAACATACCATTCACAGTTGAATATTAACCCTTTGCCACCTCCATCTTGTTTATGTTAATTTTGTAAACTGTCCGAAAGCAATATAGGTCAGTCAGGCGATATTATTTTAAAAATTCACCAAAAATCAGATTATCATTATATTCACATGAAAAAAATTATGTACATTTATTAACATCTTTAGTTTTAAATACAATATTTTTCAATACATTTTATTAAAAAAATTTACAAGAAAAAAAATAATATATATCAGAACTTACATTTAAACTTGATAATTCATAACTTTTTGTCAAAATTAACATTGTTTAGTTACCTAGTTTTTTGCTGGTAGTGAGCCAGAAAGACTTAAATATTGTTCTGTACAACTCTATATAAGATTTATTCATGTATGTTTATTCGTTGTGAAATTATTGCACATTATGTCAAACATTTGTTTCAAATCAAAACTTTATTATGCTATCAACTAATATAATGAACTGGTATACTTTATTCACTTCATTTCTGACAAGAATATAAATTTTTGTAATAAACATATGATTTAACAGTAGTAATACATATAACATTTGCTGATATTTTAGATAAAAATAAAAAATATATAAAATGTCAAAACTGAAGGTCACAACTTGAATATTTATAACACGTTGACTTAATATAGG